AGTTCTAATCCCAGCAGCTCCACTTCCCATCCAGCTCCCTGCTTGTGGCCTGGGAAAGCAGTTGAGGATGGCCCAAAGCCTTGGGACCCTGCACCTGTGTGGGATACCCAGAAGAAGTACCAGTGTGGGAGACCTGGAGGAAGTTCCTGGCTTCAGATTGGTGCAGCACCGGTTGTTGTGGTCACTTGGGGAGCAAATCAACGGACGAAAGATCTTCCTCTCTGTCTCTCCTCCTCTCTTGCATATCTGACTTTCCAATACAAATAAACAAATCTTGAAAAAAAATTATAGCTGTTATTATTACTGCCTCTTACATTTCACTTGTACTTTATGGAAAAGACGTCCAGAGAACTTCAGAAAGTTCCCAGGAAAGTGTAATTTAGAAGTATGAGCTTTGGGGTGAACAACTTCCACAGTAGGAGGACAATGCATGTTATGAAAAGATAATGCATGGGCCCAGCGGCGTGGCCTAGCAGCTAAAGTCCTCGCCTTGAACGCACCGGGATCCCATATGGGCACCGGTTCTAATCCCATCAGCTCCACTTCCCATCCAGCTCCCTGCCTGTGGCCCGGGAAAGCAGTCGAGGACGGCCCAAAGCTTTGGGACCCTGCACCTGTGTGGGAGACCCGCAAGAGGCTCCTGGCGTCCTGGCTTTGAATTGGCTCAGCTCTGGCCATTGCAGCCACTTGGGGAGTGAATCACCAGAAGGAAGATCTTCCTCTCTGTCTCTCCTCCTCTCTGTATATCTGACTTTCCAATAAATAAATAAATCTTTTAGAAAAAGAAAAAGATAATGCATGGGCTGCAAACTTCTTTTGCTCCACAATAACCTTAATTTTTAGGGGGTGTGTTGGGCACAGCATCTAAGAGGCTCCCTGAGATGCCAGCATCCCCTGAGCGCCAGCTGTGCTCCTCACTCCAGCCCCGTGCCAGGCAGGCCTGGGGAGGCAGTAAGTGATGACTTACTTGTATCCCTGCCACCCACAAGGGAGACCCAAGATTAAGTTCCCCGCTCCTGCTCTGACCAGGCCCAGCCCTACTACTGTGGGCATCAGGAGGGAACGAGAAGGGGAACTTCACTGGCACACAAGTGAATAAAAATGTAAACTTACCTTTTATTTAACTCCTTTTTTTCCCCCAGAAATCACTATGTACTCCCCGATCTCCAGGAGAGGGCCTGGTGCTAGCCCACACAGGAACCCTGGGCAGACAATGAGCTACAAAATGGCTCCAGTGCAGTTATTTTGATAAGAAGTTAGAACTTTAAAAAATTTAAGAGGTAACCAAGAGGACATTGTTTTCTATGCAAAAGATTCATTTTGTGGCACAGTATAGAGCTCTTGAACTTGAAAGATCTTACACCACTCCTAACTCCATTGTCACTACTTTTACCTACTGGTCTCTTCCCATGTCTAGTATTGACCCACTGAGAGGGTAAAAGCAGGTGAGAGCAAGGGGATTTTTTTTTTAAGATTTATTTTTAATGCAAACTCAGATATACAGAGAGGAGAGACAGGAAGATCTTCCTTCTGGTGATTCACTCCCCAAGTGGCTGCAATGGCCAGAGCTGAGCCAATTCAAAGCCAGGACGCCAGGAGCCTCTTGCGGGTCTCCCACACAGGTGCAGGGTTCCAAGGCTTTGGGTCATCCTTGACTGCTTTCCGAGGTCACAAGCAGAGAGCTGGATGGGAAGCGGAGCTGCTGGGATTAGAACTGGTGCCTATATGGGATCCTTGTGCGTTCAAGGCAAGGACTTTAGCCGCCAAGCTACTGCGCCGGGCGAGCAAGGGGATTTTTATTGAGTAGTTTTATTGAGGTATAACTGATGTACAATAAACTGCATACATTGAAAGTGTCCAAACTGACCAGTTTGGCATAGGCACTTGCCAAATCTTCGCAGCAAGAACTTTCGGTTTCAAGGCACTAAACACAGTATTGTACCAATGTGACCGTAGAGCCAGGCTTTTTAATTGCTCCAGTCCAAAGTGTTAAATAATTAAAAAATGAAGACACAGGAAGCACAGTTCCACGTCACCTGCCATGACAGAGCCTAAACAACTAACAGCTATCAGCGAATGCAGTGTCCTGGGCCAGAAAAAGAACATAGGCAAGAACCTAGGACATTACAATGAACTACGGGTTTTAGACAAGGACAAGATCAAGTTAAAGCAATCACTTTGCTAGCACTAAAACTGGAATTCACCTTACTACACTCAAAAGGCTGTTGTATCTTTACTATTTGGAAAAGTTAATTCAACTAATTTAAGGTGTCCAAATGTTTTATGATAGGCATGGTTTTTTAAATAAATTCTATAGTTAGAACAGTATATACACCTACCATAGATGACATATAATTGTGCATATGCCACATAGTTATGACTTTTTTTATGACTTATTTGAAAGGCAGAGTTGGGCCCGGCGCGGTGGCGCAAGTGGTTAAGTCCTCGCCTAGCACGCCCGGGATCCCATATGGGCACCGGTTCTAATCCCGGCAGCCCCGCTTCCCTTCCAGCTCCCTGCCTGTGGCCTGGGAAAAGCAGTCGAGGACGGCCCAAAGCTTTGGGACCCTGCACCCACGTGGGAGACCCGGAAGAGGCTCCTGGCTTCGGATCGGCATAGTATCGGCCCGTTGCGCTCACTTGGGGAGTGAATCATCGGATGGAAGATCTTCCTCTCTGTCTCTCCTCTCTGTATATCCGCCTTTCCAATGAAAAATAATAAAAATAAATCTTTAAAAAAAAAAAAAAAAAAAAAAAAAAGAAAGGCAGAGTTACAGAGGGAGACACAGAGATCTTCTGTCTGTGGGTTCACTCCCCAGTAGCCACAACAGCCAGAGCCATGCCAGACGGAAGCTCAGGAACCAGCAGTGTCTCAGGATCTCGTGTGGGTGTGAGGAACATTCTCCACTACTTTCCCTGGCACATTAGCAGGCAGCTGGGTTGGAAGCGGAGCAGCTGGGACTTGAATCAGTCCCAGCATTGCAGATGGCTTGACCCAACAGGCCACAGCAGCAGCCCCAATGGGATGTCTTCTTGAGGCGGGCACAGTGGGTCAGTCTGCGGTTGCAATCCAACCCCTTGCTCATGCACCCCAGGAAGCAGCAGATGTGGCCGAAGCAGACTTGAATCCCTGCCACCCATGCGGGACACCCAGAGGAGTACAGCTGGGTCCAGTGTTGACTGCTGTAGGCATAGGGCAGTGAATGGATGAAAGGATGGATGCCTGATTTCCCTCTCTGTCAACTTTGCCTCTCAAATCAGGAAAAAAAAGTATTAAAAAATGTGTTGTGAGCGGATGCCACTGCTCCGGCATTGACTGCAGTTTAGGTTTAGCTGAACATGACTTGCCTTTGTCGCAAAGCTGTGTGAGCCTCGTTCATTTCCCAAGTTTGAAAGCACCTGGGACTAGTCCCATTCCCTGGACAACCAGGTGGCTCCGCACAGGGCCACACTCACCAAGCCTGTGATTGTGAGGGTTTGTGAAACTAAGTACCACCAGCGGACCAGACACCGCCTAAGTCGTGGGAAGGAATAGGGCTACACACCCCTCCCCATGTTCTAGGACCAGGGACCCAGACTTCAGCCCTGTTGCTGAACAATGGCCTGTGACTCACACCTGTGTTCCAAGTGTGAAATGAAGGAGTGAGTCATTAGGTCCCTGCTAGTTCCTTCTTTCCAGTTTGTTCAGGCTGGTCACTTCTCCGCAGACAGTCACCCTTCTGAGAAAAGATCCCAGCCCGCTCAAACCTTCGGGGCTCCTTGACCACCATCAGCATCTCCTAAAGTGGGGCTATCAGGGGTCACAGCACCTGAAACCAGGGCATACCCCCAGGGTCCCAAGATCGGTGCAGATCTCAGAGGCCAGGCTCTGATCTGCACCTGTGAACACACAAGCAGGCAGGAAGACCTTCGCCCCAAGTTGGGGCTGTCGGCAGAGTAAGCCTGAGGCTGACTGATGGTGGTGCAGGCAGGGCTGCATTCCCCAGAGGTCAAGGCTGAGTCACTGGGCAGAAACCAGGAGGTAAGCTTCTCCCAGGACCCAGGAGGAGGATGTGCCACTAGGGAGCCGAGTGGAGCCGGTCTAGGGAGAGGCTGAGGGGCAGTTCCGACCCGTGGGTGTTTCCTTACCAAATTCAAACACTTGATGTTTATGTGGCTTCCTGCAAGACCAGAACACCCATGCTGTTTCCCGTAGTGGCTAAGATGATCAGGTGAGGAACTGCACGTTAAGGAGTGACCAGAAGGCAGGTCTGCTAACTTGGACTTGGATCATGAAGGTGTGACTCACTACTCACAGCTAACAGGTTGGCGGGGGGGGGGGGGGGGGGGGTACGGGAACACCACTTTACAGCAGTCTGATAGGAAATGGCTTCAGAAACTTCCTTCATTTCTTCTTTCTGGCAACTTCTCTGGCAGCAATTTGAGGTGCCAATGTAGGCAGAGGAGGCACGCTGGCCAGCAGGCTCACCCCAAGTTGCTTCCTGGCTGGGGACCAAAAAAGCACTCAGTAGGCTAGAGCGGACACATGACCTTATCTACTCCACCTACTTAAACTGTGTCAGACACACACTAGGGTAGGTGACCTGAGCCCCAACTTTACTCTCCCATGCATTAAAGAGATCATAGGTGGCCTCCACACCCACCTAGCAAGGCTCTGCGCCAGCACCCTCCCCTGCCAATGTGGAGACCCAGAAATGGGGGCTGCAAACAGTTCTCTCAAAATCCAGCTGTAAGGCTGGGATCTCGTTTCCAGCATCAGTAAGAAAGGATGCACATGCATTACTATCGGAAGCCTCAATTTGCCAGGTCAGTGTTCTGGCACACTTCTAATTTTATACTTTTGAAATAAAGAACGGTGTTCAAGTGCAAGAGTCAAGACTTGAGCAGGCTGATGTCCTTGGCCAGCTGGGAAGGCCCTGCTAGGAGGAAGATGCCTGCTCCCAAACGGTGGGTGGTGCGCAACCATCGGCACGGGCCAAAAGGTCAATCAGAGGCGGAGCTCAGTGGCAGTTAAAGTCTTTATTGATGTGTTTAAACTGTACATTCTCCACAGATCATATTCGGGAGTTTGTAGGTGAAATTTAATCTGTGCATAGTGGGAACAGACATGATGGGATCAAAAGGAAAAAAAAGTCACAGGGAAACCAAAAAATACACCACGGGTTACCAGAACCTTCAGATTAAAAAGAGTTGTGAACATCAACATCAACTATACAAGCTGCACAAAGACTCGTGTGAAGGAAACAAAAACCCCTGGGGCTTTCTGCAGCGTCTGGAACACACCCCTCCCACGGCACACAGCCTCCCCACACCGTCTCCAGCTGTCCGCCCCCTGCTCCCAGTGGACAGCAGGGAGGCCAGTGACAGTGGAGGGCCAGGGCAGGTGCTCTTGGTGGGAAACATCCAAAGGTGAGAGAACACACGTTTGGACAGACGGGCGGGGAGGGGAGAGTGAGAAGCTCCAGGCAGTGGAATACACACTTGTGTTTGCTTCTGTGGAAGAACGGGATTTGGAAGGAAAGCTGTGGTGGGTCCCTGCTGTCTGTGGCCTTCAGCCTCTGTGGCCCCACGGCGGTTCAGCTGGTCCTTGAACCCACTCTGGGCAGCCATAATGGTCTGTTTCAGGGACGGTCACAGGTCCCTGCCACACGCGGCTTTCAGACAGTTCATTCTGAAAAGCAGGCACTGCCTTCTTTTTGTTTTCTTTCCCCAGTCACAACAGGGACAGTGAAAGAGCCTAGCACGGTGGATTTATACAATGTAACTGGAACAAACAGTCTGCATATACAGTCTACAAACAAAAATCAACAGTTTCCATTTATATAGAGTGCGGGTGTAAGACGATACAACAGAAGTGGGGTTGCTTCTGATTAATTTAAAAAGAAAACTGCATCAGTCAAATATCTGCAATAGATAGATCTTTTCATTTCACGTAAGGTTTATATATCATATATTGTTATATTAACATTTGTCACTCCGTTAAAAGAATGGAATTGCAGTTCTACAGTAGTACACTTCCTGGTCTCAGTGACGCAGGGGATCAGGGTATCAGCTGACCCCACTGGCAGCAGCTGCTGGTCCTCTTCTGCTCACCTGCACCCCCATCCGACCAGGGGGTGACATGCCTCCCGTCACTTAAATCTGCATCTGCTCCAGGTACTTGTAGGTTGGGTTTTCATAACCATGATTTTGCATCTTGTTCAGGTGACGCTCTTCTGGGGTCAGCATGGGGTCCACCTGGGAGGACAAAGACCAGGGCTTACTGCAGCGGAGTAGCCGACACCCGCACAGCACAGGCCCGCCCGAGCTGCTGGGTTCCAGACAAGAAACAGCCCAGCAGCCCACTCCTGGTGGTGTCTACAGGAGGAGAAGAAAGAAGGCGATCCCAGGGAGTACAAGTCTGAAGTTGGAGTCCTGAGGACTCCGACTGCATAGGGGAAGAAGATAACGCACTGGCCTTCCTGGCGCCCAAGGAGAAGCATGTCAGTCTCTGATCTGCTCAGAAGCAAGCCGCCTGCTCAGTTCTCCACTATGATGCAGGGACGGCTGCTGGGTGGTCTAGGGTCTTTTCCAGCTCTGAAATTCTACACTAGGCCAGTTGCCAGCAGGAGAATAAAATCAAGTAAACTATGATACTTATCCGAAATGATTTCCATGAACATATTATAATCTTTATCTTAAGTCAGGAGACCGAACGTTCCCACCAACTAAAAACTGAGTGGCGGCCGAGTTCAACAGATGCACAGACTAAGGGACAGAGACGCTTGCTGGCATCTTTCTAAATTGCGTAAGTTTGCTGAGAAAGTGTCAGATAGGGAGTTAGGCTGCCCCTTGGGTATCTGTGTCAGGGCAATGGTTTGAGTCCTGGCTGTTTGCTTCTGAACCACCTTTCTGCCAATGCATCTAGGAAGGCAGTGGACACTCCTAATTTTGGCCTGATCTGGCCCAGCTTTTGTGGGCATTTATGTGGGACGTGAACCAAGATCTGGCTCCTCCTCTGCCTTTCAAATAAGTGTATCTTACCACCCCTGCCCCCCACCAAAAAAAAAAAAAGGCAGAGCTGGGGTGGATGGGGTGGAGCATGTGGCAGAGCAGTTAAGATGCTGCTCGGGATGCCTGCATCCATTTGCTCTGAGCCTCAGCCGTGCTCCCAAGCCTGGCCCCCTGCTGCTGTCCACCCTGGCTGTGGTGGGTATACAGCAGGTGACAGCACAGGCATCTGGGTCCCTGCCATCTTGGAGCCCCGCACTGTACTCCGGCCTGCCAGGTTCGGCTGCTGCAGACACTTGGTGTGTGAACCAACAGATGGGAGATCTCCAGGTAAGAGGAAAATGAATATACGAAACGGATCAATCAATAAAGGCAACTGTCCCCTGGGGAAATAAAAGCAACAGTAACAGCAGGCCTGGATTCTCACATATCTAAGATGCCTAAAGGAAAGGAGACACCCAGGAAAACAATCTGAGACCAAGAAATGCCCTCTGGACCAGAAAATGTTCCAAGCACTTTCACATTCTCTGTCAAGGCCCAAATTAACATTGAAGGTTGGCAGCAGCCCCACTGTAATGGGATCAACCTAATTTAGTTGTGGCTGACTTCCAAAACGTGGCCTTAATAATCCAGTGAGAAATTACATTGATGAGAGCAGCATGTCCATTACTCGGGCAGTTAAGACACTTGTATTTTATACACTTTCCACCGTCACCACCACCCCTGGGGCCAGTCCAGTAACAAGGTGCAAAGCCTCACTAGCTCAGGATTAAGCCAATAAGAAAGCTCAGTTGCTCACCTCCACAATCCCGTGGCTGATGGTGCCATACTGTCTCTTTCGTAGCATCACCAGGCTAATGACGATGACCGTGGCAATGGCCACTGCAATGACCAGCAGCCCAATGAGAGCACTGCTGCTCAGACTGAAGTCCTCCCGCAGAGGTCCCGTGGACTCCTACAGTAACAGAGCAGACATGGAATGGAGTCCTGGCGGACGCATGGCAACCATGACACGGTAACTCAAGGAGGGCCACGTGCTCTGACACTGGGTCTCTGAAACCCAAGGCAGCACTGAAATGCTACCTTGCTGGTGGGTATGACCCACGGGGGAACCCTCATTTTTCCCAATCTCCATGTTGATTTTTACCTTTAGCTTTCCTGGACAGGAAGCATATAATAGCAGGCACCTTGCCTACCTTTTACAAGAATTGAAAATAAAGTGAACCAGTTCAGGGGGAAAAAAAAAGTTGGTCTTATATTCTTAAGATTATGAAACTAAACACATACCGGCTCTTCCTCCAGGCCTCCAACCCTCTCAGCATTGAAAATCATTTCCTTAACATCGAGAGTCTCATCGATGACCTGAAACAGCCACCACAAAAACAGCAGTAACCAGCGAGCAGGTCAGGGGGGAAATTCAGCATCCGCAGCACTGCTTCCTTCCTGTTCCTCCCACCGACTAGGGGAGGAAAGCAGACACCCGTTGGATGTCCACTAACCAACTGAATCTTCCAAATCCCACCCAACAAACCTCTAAATGAGGGGCAAGTGCAGAGGCAAAAATCACTGAAAAGCAGTTGATCCTACAGAATTTCCACCTGTGTTTTCTTGTGGGTAACTTGTGGAGAAACATTTTAGGACGAATTACCAAGAAAGCACAATTAAATACCGAATTCAATTTAAAAATAGAAAATGCTAGGAGAACAAATGGGAGAATAACCTGAAATCAATTAAAAATCTACTTTAAATTTCTTAAATTTTTACTCCATTGAAAACAGCCTCTAATGCTTTATGCATATCTCCCTAAACATATTTTCCTTGTTAAGCCACTGATGAAACAAGAGATCACGATTTCTCCCACCCACTGGCTTAACAAGGCAATGAATCTTCCCTCTGTCTTCACCAAACGGAAGTGACACAAGGACACTCACTCTAGTGACTCTCAGAAGTAAAATGGACTCACCATATGTTCCTCCACTTTATTCTTACTGTTAATCACTTTCTCTTCTGCACCAATCAGTGCCCCGTCCTTCTCTCCCACTCCAGAGCCTGTGTGGAGAAAAAGTTCAGCTCAGTGTCCAAGGATGGCTGACACGCCACCTTCACAGAAGCAGCAAACTCCCCCCAGCTCCAGGTGTCCCCAGGTGGAGGATGCACTGCGCCTCTCTAAGGATGAATGACAAGCGCTGTCAGACAACTGATGGGGAGAATGGAGGAGACAGTGCTTACCTGCCTCCAGCTGGAAAGAATGGAATGCAAGGCCTTAGTGACAATGTTTATTGCAGGCTACACAGCAGAGGAGGCCACGGGCATTCCAGCACGTCTGGCTCTTGCCCGTGTCAGCACTGAGCACCTACAACCCCACACCTGTTCCACCAGCAGCATCTGGTTCCTCCTGCGTGGAAGAACCCTCCACAGCAGTAATTGGCACATCTGCCTCAAGCTTGATAGTTTATCCCACAGGCAATTCTCTGCCTCAAATTTCCTTCCCCATTTCAATCACTTCATGTTGTCCTGAGGCGTAGCTCCTTGTGCGAGCTGCCTGCCTTCTGTCTGTCCTGGTAGGCTGCAGCCCCCTCGGTGCCTGGTCACACAGTAAACAGTTATGAAAGAATGCACAGGCAGACGTGTTCATCAGCAGGGACAACGCTAACACCACGGTGGAGGGCACCTTTCTCTGAGTAAAACAACAACAGCAAGTCTCCGCTTGCCAAGGTCAGATGTGACCTGAGCCAACGTCACCAGTGCGTGGCACTCAAATGATGGATCCAAATACGCACGATGACTGGGCCCAACAGAGATGGAGAAAGGAGGACTATGAGGGAACAGCTGTCTGTATTTTTAGCTTCAATGCATGTGATTCCTAATACCATAGTTTTTTTTTTTAATTTATTAATAGAAAAAAGACAGTTTTATATACAAGTCTATAATCTCCATCCTTTATTTAGGGGCCAACCCGATCCCATGCTGGGTAATTACATATGAGTTAAAGACCAATGCTGGTACACACCAAGCCCAGCTGCCACTGGGCTTATCAGGCACACATTGGCACTGGGTTGTTCCACAGCCAACAACTCCAGCTCCATGTAGGCTTGTTCATAACATGGAATATTTAGTAACAGGTACTAGCGTTGCTGAACATCAAACTAGCTAATGCATAAATTTACTCTAATGTGGCCAAAAATGATGCAAGTTCTTTCCAAGTCTTCACTGAAAATGCCAATGAAACAGCAATATTGTACTCCAACTACGTGTACACAGGAAACTGGAAGGGGCTGCCTCAATTAGAAGACCAATCTATCCTAATTTTGAACTTCCTCCTTTCTCTTTCAAAAAAATTTTAAAGGTCACAGAGGCAGAATTTTACCTGAAAATTAACATAGCACCGAAATAACTAATTTAAAGACCTATGACCTGTCCAGACTGTTCTAATACTTTTTTTTTAAAGTTGTATAGTCTACATATATTAACACTGAACAAAATCACTCTGGGTTTACAGAGTGTATAATGCTGCAGTGAGCATTTGGCCTGACCCCAAGGTTCAGGGCCAGCTCCAACTCCTGTTTCCAGCTATTTGCCAGCACGGACACTGAGATGCAAGTAAGTGATAACCCAAGAAAATCGGGTTCCTGTCACACACGCGGGGGACCCAGGATTGTATTCTGACTCCTGACTCTTGCTCAACCAGACACCTGGTGAGAAAACCAGCAGACAGGAGCCCTCCATGTCAAATAAATAAATAATCATAAATAAAATAAACAAGCAAGTGTCTTCAAGAATACAAGTTAATGGCTAAACTATCCCAACTTAGAAGGCAAAAATCCAGCTCAACTCTGCAACTGCTCTTTATCTGTAACATCTAGATGTGCTAAGAGGAACGTGAGCACAGCCAACTCCAAGGAGACACCTAAGTAAAACACAATGAACCACTGACACAGAAGTGATTCTGCAGGACATTCAAATCACAGAATTGTATTCTGGCAACAAGCTGTGGCGGAATAATCCAGAAAACCAAATTCTTGCCCAGGAAACAGTGACTGGTCTATCCACCAGTAGTCTGGTAAAGCCACAGGGGTGGGTTATAAAATACAGTCAGAACACAAAGTAACTGAACTGAAGACCACTGTAGCAGCTGGACTGCCCAAATACCTGAGGCATTTGCAGCCAATACCACAGAAATCGCTGGGAGACACAACTGGGCTCTAAACCTTGTTCCTCTACCTCTTAAACTCATGATCTAGACTAAGCCGGGTGCTCTCAGAGATGATGCAGGCACAGCATTTGGCCTCCTGCCTTCACCAATGGCACCTGCTTTTGGAATCCTGGAGACTCCCTGCATCCACTCATCTCATTCACCACCTTCTACTGTTCTGGGGAACGTTACAACTCAAGGGACAAGAGACAACTGGAACAGACAGAGGGCAAAGGGAGCCAAATGGAAAGGGAGAAGCTATTAAGTAGGAACACCACAAGAAAAGGAAAAGGCTAAAGACTGACTCCACATGACTGTAAATTAAACATATTTCTATCTATGCCAGCAATGTATAATCAGGTTGTTTCAAGTGGATATACTTTAGAAACCTGCTCAGCTTACAGCAGTGTATGACAGCATCTATTTTAGTAACTGTGCATTCTCTGGGCATCTCAGAAGGAAAGTTTAGGATAGCCACAGAGTGAGCAATGGCACTGCAACTGGACTGATTGCTGGGCAGTCAAGTCAGCATGTCAGCAACACGGAGGGAGGGCGACTCTGGCTCTACTCACAGCCACGGCTAAAGAGATGAGGCAGACAAAATAAGGTGAGGCATGAAACAAAAAATGAAACTTCCAACACACTGGGGAAGTGAAAAGCAATGAAGGTCTTACAGGGAACATCTGTGACAAACCAACCTTTCTTCACTGGGTGGTACAACTCCGGCTGAGGGTCTAGCAGAAAGAAAAACAATAAAGAAAACAAAACAGTACAAAAGGAGATTAAGAAAGAAAATGGTTTCTTTCAAAATCCCTATCTATATTATGTGAATGCTTTTTTGTCCTTAAAAAAGACATGCCTGAAATATCCCACAGACAAGCCAGCAGTAAGATCCACAGCCAATCACTGGAAGGTATCTTTGGTAAGAAATGAAAAAGGAGTACGTCTGTCTCAGACCTTTTCAGGGAAATTTTGGAAGATGTCCAGTGTTTTTAGTTTAGCCCACAAAACTACTCCTCTTAGAAAATAGCAGAAACTTGTAGTTCATATTGATTGCGGCTCGCTGTAAAAGGCATAAGGCCCTCTTAGAGATGAGCTCTGTTTGAGATGCCCTGATCTCAAACACACATGGAATTGTCCAACCTTGGCCATCCTGCAGTCTCGTGGAAGTCTGGAATTGGGAAGGGCAAGTAGTTGGGTGTCAGCCGCTTTCTCTGGTCTTCTTCCTGAAGTGCACGGGGTATAGACTCTGAGAAAGCAAGTCTACAAGACAGAAACTCTGTGGGCTTTGTAGGCTTAGAGGATATGTACTGTGCTTCCCCTGCTCCCTGCCCCACTCCTCCAAAGCTAGCACCTTCCTCAGCTCTGTTTCAGGGCTGCATGCAGTCAGACGTAGGCGATGAGTCCTATAATGACTGCAGGACGGCACCATCTGAGTTCAAACCTACAAGCAACACGGCCCAGGGAAGTAACTCCACGTCTCTAAACCTCAGGATCCCCACAATCAGATGCTTCAAGTGCCTATCTTAAAGGGTTATCTGAGCATCTGTGAGCTCATCCACGTACAAGGCTCAGCTAGAGCTGGCTATGCCAAGGACTCTGGAGGTGAGCTACTCTGACCACTGCTGTGATCAGCAGCACCCGCAGCCTAGGAGACCTGATAATCCACACAGGTCTCAGCAGTCTGTTTCCGGTGCAGATTCACAGCTTTTGGAGGTAAGTTCAGAAGCCGAGAAGCAGCAAGGGAACAGAGGAAGGCAGTCCTGACAGAGACTCAGGACACACACCTTCTCACGCCACCGTATGTCAGAGATATGACCCTGAGCCAGTCATGTCACCTGCTCCGTGTTCCCACCACCTACTTCCCAAGACCATTAGAGCAAGGGCTATACCACGAGGGTACTATTCAAACTGCAAAGTGATCAGCATGCAAAGGGTATCACACAACTGAAGAACAGTGGGCTTAAAGCAACTGTCCACAAAGAGGGACAATAAATCCTAACTTCCTGGTGACACCAACTACCTCCTAGCAGGTGCTGGATGCTTCTACACAACTGGTGTCTGATGGACCCCACCTCCCTTCCCTCAGCTCGCACCTGGACACACTCAACTCCAGCAGGTGTCATAAGGGGGAATTGCACGTTTTCATTTCATGTTCTCCCATCGCACTGACAAGAACAAGACGGGCAGTCATACACACCTTCGTTCTCAGGCAAGGCTGGGAAGGGATGGAAAGGGTAGAATGGTGGAACCTCCTCGCTCTCCTCCGAGCTCACCCGGACGTCCACGGGGCTCTCTGAGATGGAGGCAGTGAACTGGTCCATGTGCGCTCGCTGTTCCTGAAGGAGCTCATCTGACAAAAGACAGCAGGGGATTGCCACGGCAGCTTTCAGAAAGATGCGCATGCCTCAAAAGGGGTCAGTACTCATCATCTGGGGGTGTGAGCTCTGGTGAGAGGGTGGCCCGAAACCACCAAACTCTCTGACTCCCCAAACTTCACAACTATCCCACACCTCAAGGGCCTCTTTCAATGCTAGTTATTTTTTCTATATATATTTAAGGAGCACAATGTAATGTCATGATATCAGCATCTATTGTGAAATGATTATTAAGGTCATGCAGATGAATACAACCATTACCTTCCACGCTTTTTCCTATTGACTGGAGCACCTAAAATCCAGCCCTAGCAAGCTGTCAGTATCCAAATTCAACAGCACCAACTGTTCCCCCTGCTGTAGATCCTGCCTCCAGATTACTCCTCCAACAAAACTGCAACTCTATGTCCTGTCTCCCTGATCCCACCCTGGCTCCACCGGGGTCCTGTGCCTACTGCCTGCCTTCTGCATCAGTCTCCAGTCAGACTACCCTAGACTTCCATTTTATGCCCAAAAACAGTGAGTGTTGTTTCTGCACACAGAAAAGGAAATTTTGATTCTGTTTCCCATCTCAGGATATGCTGGTACCACCAACTTCACCACCACCTCAGCTGCTCCCAACGCAACCCTGAATGCACCCTGGATACTACATGCCCCTTCAAGCCCCCTACAATGTGCTTTAGCAGACATGGCTCCCAGCTCCATTGTAATCCTCGCTGTGCACACCCATCATCATCACTCTCCTGGATTGTTTACACTGCTTTCTGTCTGGTTACGATGTTAGTCAAAACACAGATGCTAAGTGACTTAAAATTTTTTTTTCAGTTCATGTTCTTCTTAAAAGAATGTTCTTGGCACTAACAAGAATACTGCAGCAAGCAAAAGCTTCTACCTGCAGTGACAACACTCCATACGGGCACCAGTTTGAATCCCAGCTGCTTCACTTCCAATCTGGCTCTCTGCTAACACTCCTGGGAGAGCAAAAGAGGATGGCCCAAGTGCTTGGGCCCCTGCACCTACATCAGAGACCTGGAAAAAGTTCCTGGATTTAAATCAGCTCAGCTCTGGTCATTGCAACAGTCTGGGATGGGTAGTGAATGGGGATGGAAGGCCCATTTCTCCCTGTCTCTGTAATACTGACTTTCAAATATATGAGATCTTTTTAAAAAGTTCTAGACCTAATCACTCCCCAACTTAGAGCCCTTTAGCAGCCTCGCGTTACTCCAGAATGAACTTCAAGCTCCCCAATTTCATGGCCCCTTCACCATATTCTCGCCACATCAACCGGCTCAAATGTGTCACTTGTTTTCACTCTAGGTCTTCTGAACAGCAGTTTCCATCCAGCTAGGTGTGTGCTTCCCTGGATGTGTAAGTGGCTCCCACTTAGCATTCAGAACCAGGTTGTCACCTCCCAGGGGCAGACCCCTCTCTGAATGTACCAGGGACTGCAGCAGATCCTGTGTGCAGGTACATCATTTTACTCTGTGACTCTGAGGTGCACAGCAGACATGGTAGTATTCAGTGAATAAATCAGAAAGATCAAGACTGGGAGAGGAGCTAGGAATTTGTGTAAACAGGATGTCTTGAAATACACCAGCAATTGGAGGGATGGGGTGTTAACAGGAAACTTCCCCACCCCTTGCAATTTCACACTCTAAATTTTCCCCTGGCTAATAGAGTGAATGAAGGTCAATGAAACTCAAGGCTCTGTGGCTCATGGCCAGTACACCTGTCCTTCCTTATTCTTGACCTTGTCAAGCTCCTGTGGTGTGCTAATGCCCAACTTCACCAGTTTGACCTCCAATTCTGCCTGGTCATCACCCTTGGCCTATGCAAGAAGACCCACCTGACCCAGTCAGTACCCACCAATTTCCTCTTGAATTTCTTGGGCCACGTAAGGGACTTTGTAGAGAAGAGAGAGGCTCTGGTTCCTCCTTTCTTCAATAACATGGAGATGGGTCATCACCTGGAAGCAGAGTTAGGGCACAGAGGTCCTGTCACCAGAAATGGCCAGGCCAGAGGAATTTGCAGACTTGTTTGGAAAGACTAATTCAAAAGGAATATTCCGTACAGCATTCAGCAAGGCAGCTGCCTGGAGGAAGTGTCTCATTTCCCAAGTCACATTCACTGACTACCTAAGTGTACAGGCATGTCCTAAGTGAACACAGGAGCACCAAGCAGAGAATTCAGGTCCACTAGCCTGTTATAGAACATTTATTGTAATGAAATAGAAAGAACTCTTAATTTGTACAAAGCTGGACAATAAAAGAAGGCTTTGCTCAGCGGAGGAGTTAATTTTTGCCACTTGTGAGATTAAAGGGGTAAGAAGACAAGTCTCTGGCTAAGAGATAGACTTGGGGTGAAAGAGGACCGCAGTGAAGCAAGTGCTTAAAATCAGGCTAGATTCAAGAACAGGACTAATTTATTCCTGCTGGTAAACTGGTCTCTGGAAAGTTCGGCATACGAAAATATTCAATCTGAAGGGGTCACTGTTCATATCAAGATTACCTTTTTCAACATGAACGCTCCAAGGCTGCTCACCACTACCACAACCAAGAAAGCCAGTGAAAGGCAGCTCTTTATTTTTTAGAGACTTTCAGAGTAGCAGCAAAAGGAGATCTGGGTTAATATCACATTTATGACATAGCAAGGCAACTGTGTTGCTCATATACATACACAGTAAAGCTGCAGTTACTGAGCGTTTCCTAAAGAGGGTGCTCTAAGCCAGTGGATTAATTATGTGAGCCTGAAGCCATTTAACATGAAGGATCAAAATGGAAAAAAAAAAAAGTTAAATGGAAAGATGCTTTTATTACAGATTGATGTCTTTCTGACCTTTAAAAGCCAGGATGAAAGCAATTTAATTTTATATTTGCCATTCTGTCAATCAAGCAAATTGATGGGAAAATGCAAGAATGAGGGCCTTGGAGGGGGAAAAAAAAAAAAAAAAAAAAAAAACCACGCAAATGGAACTGCAATGCACCACTCACAGTCCCAGCACGTGTTGATACTGTTATATTTCCCCGGATGAATTAAAGGGCCATTTGAGAAAGGATGGTTCGTGTAGCCACAGGGGGACAAGAACCACAGGATACAATATTAGCAATTAGGATAGTGAACATCCAAGCTATCCCAAGCCATCCTGAGGGGTAAAAGCACCTTATTACTGGTATCCAGGCAACCGCACATGGCACAAATTAAAGGCTGAACACGCTCAGGATTTTCTCATGTTTAAATAACAGAATAGAGAACAGGCAAAAAGCTACTGTACTTCAGCAGCCAAGCTTCGGCAGAGCTGGGCTTCCCTTCCGGTCCCAGCACACACCACACATGCATGCTGGCAGGGAGAATGGCAGCCACTGGTGCTGCCAGGGGACACTGCCACAGTGGCTCCTTGCAGTCAGCATAGCACTCTCTCCTTGAAAAATCGAATGAGTATCTGACTTTACATCACAAAGCCTTCTAGGAAAACAAGTAGGCTGAGTTTAAAAGGAAGCCAACAGCCCGGTAGGCATGTTAATTTTCTATGAGCAGAATAAAGTAAAACTCAAAATATGGACAACTCTAAAACGAGAAAGAAAAACTCCAGAGATGATTGTGCATTCAAGCTGGACTCAACATGGAAAAAAAAAACATTCAGAAATATAGGAGAGGTATCTAAACAAAAATCATAAGGCATCAAACTAGGAGACCAATTTTTAAGATCATATACATTTACCTATAAGAGGATTTCAAATAGTAACTCTGACCATTCCTTAATTAAAAATAAACTGACATAAAAACCAATTTAGAATTAGATTTCTTCAATATAATCAATCATTTTAGGAAACTTAAGTACATAATTACTTAATATAAAAAAGCATGGAGGGGCCAGCACTGTGGTATAGGCTAAGGTATAGTGTGCGATTCCTTTGGCTTCCCACACTGGTGTGCTGGTTTGAGTACCTGCTGTTCCACCCTAATGCAGCTCCCTGCTATTGCACGTGGACCCCTGCCACTCAGGTGGGATACCCAGAGTTCCTGGCTTAGCCTCGGCTCTTGTGACCACTTTGGAAGTAGAGGATGGAAGATCTACATTTCCCTCTGACACACTGCCTTTCAAATAAATAATTAAATCTTTAAAAATAAGTATGGAAGGATCCAGTGTGATGACTCAATTGGCTAATCCTCCCCTTACAAGCACCGGGACCCCCATATGGATTTCAGTTTGTGTCCTGGCTGCTCCACTTCTCTTTCAGCTCCCTGCTTGTGGCCTAAGAAAGCAGTAGAGAATGGCCCAAAGCCTTGGGACCCTGCACCTGCATGGGAGAGCCAGAACAAGCTCCTGACTCCTGGCTTGAGATCAGCTCAGCTCTGGTCATTGCAGCCACTTGGGGAGTGCACTAAAGGATGGATTTCTTTCTGTCTTTTCTTTTTTCTGTGAATTTGCCCCTCCAATAAAAATAAATAAACCTAAAAAAATATGGAAAAGACATTTGCAAAGTAAGCACCTCTGCAATAATCAATTCATATACCAAACACTTTTGGAAATCAAATCTCATCTTCTAAGGATGAATAGTAAGCATCAGTAGCCATTCTGCTCCACTGCAGCCATGGCAGTAACTCTCTGGGAATACACTGTGTAGGATACCTGTGATTTCATCTGGGCAGCCTTTTCTGGGTCAACAGCCAACACATGCTGGTAATGACGGATGGTGTGTAGCCGATCTTTGTTCTCAGCACGGACATATCGCCGCAAGGCGTGGAGAATGCGATATGGCTGCAGGACAAAACAGACGTCTTAGTCTCCAGACAATAGAAAATTGAAAACAGGCAGGAAAAGCAAAGCTGCAGCAGGTCACGGTGTGGGCATCTGGCAGAGGAGTTCAGGCCCTGCTTGGCATTCTGGTATCCTGTATTAGATGGCTGGATTTATGCTCCCCATTTGCAGCTTTCTGGAAGGTATCAGCAGATGTCACTGCCAGCCCCATCAGGACCAGGACTGAATGCCTGCATCTGGGGAGTGAACCAGCACATGGGAAACATGTGTCTGGCTTTCTTTGTCTTTCAAATAAATTCTTAAAAAAAAAGAAAAAAGAAAAAGAAAAAGAAGAAATAACCTAAAGCTTAAACACAAGAATGAAGGACGGAGCCTTAAACTTTTTTTTAGATTATCAAGTAACGAGAAACTAGTTTTCCAAGTAAAGTAACAACATCTATGTTCCAGTTACACTGACTACTTGATGCTTCCTGGCCTATAGCCCACTGATCAGTCCTGCTTCCCAGCTCAGGGCTCTGACACCCCCGTTCCAAGCCAGGCAGTCCCCTGCATCACCCAAAGAAGGCACTGGATACAGTCCTCTTTCCAGTGTCTCCCAATGGCAGGTTACAGCTCAGGCACAGAAAAGCTTGCAAACACACAAAAGGTTCAACGTAAGTTACTTTAATGCTTTTATTTATAATCTTACTTCAGAATGTAACTGGTTCAAAAGCCTCCACTCATAGAACGTACAGATCATTCTTTGAATGGCTACCACTGAAAAGCCAATAATTGGATGATTACTAAACAATACACTGTGATTATGTTTTTCTAGCATGAAAGACTTTGATCTCACAAATGGTCTAGGAAGGCAGAAAGCAATACGCTGCTAGGCTCGGAGATGTGGCTACCAGAAATAATACCTTCTTCCTTTAACTTTAGCTTTGCCAGAACTTGTCATAAGGTCACACATTGTTCCACACGTGGGCCATGCGATGACTCACCCGCGGGGGGTCGGACTGCAGGGCAGCCAGGTAATTCTCCAGAGCCATCCGCCGCCGATCATTCAGCATGGCTTCCACTCGCGCCAGGTGCGTTTCTACCAGCTGCTGCTTCTCACTCGCTGCTTCCTTCTCCAAAGCTTTAACCATGGCTTGGAAGTGCTAGGCAAGGCAGGGAGAGCAATATAACTACCTGTGGCACCAGGAAGAATTTAAAGAAGCAACCCTAGGCCTGAAGCTTCTCCTTGGCCCAGCGTTTCTAAGTCAGCAAGACTCAGAGAAGCGCCACGAGGCCACAATCACAGAATACATTCCTTCCCATCGGGACAACTGCTCCCTAACCTACAGCAAGCAAGCTCAGCTGCGGCAGTAGAAAGACTCCTTAGTAGTTCTGTAACCGAAGGTATGCAGCAAGCCCGAAACCTGGCCTCTCCACATGGGTTACAAGAAAAAGAACACTGCCCATTTCCCACGTGGCAAGCGGCTGATTTTAGGAGCCACGTTTTGAACCTCACCAGGAATATGGTGGGCGATGCTGAATCACTAATTTCAAAGTCACGAAGGACAAGCTATCTGTGAAGTGCCTGCCCAGCTTCACGGCAAGGGTGTAATCAGGCTGCTGAACTAAGTTTCTTTGCTTCAGCCTCACTAGTTTATATAGGCAATAAAACCCAATTTTCTTTGAGTAAAAAAAACCACAACCTTCCATTTACAAGTGTCAGCATCCTAAGAAAAACTGCAGTTGTGATTTAAAATGGAAAACCAAGTGCATTTTTCGTATTATCATCCCTATCTTTAACAACACTGTCCTGTAGGAAGGGAAATGCTGTTCATCATTCTGACAAACTGAGAAATGAACTTGCATCAGAGATCTCTTCTGTTTTCTGTTTTTTGGACTTGCTAGCCTACAAAGACAAAATGATTCAGTCCTGTTGTAAGTCACAGCTTAAGAATGAGGACAAGAGACGACTTGAGTCAAGTAAGCAGAATTAACAGACAGCAGCTGAGCTAAGGTCCTTCCAGGTCAATGGGGTGTGTTAGTAACTTGGTTTCATCTTCCACAGGTGAGTGACAGCAGAGATGACAAAGACAACAGGCCAGTGACAGTCCCATTGTTCCAAGGCCCTCACTTCCTGGAGCCGGGCTCTGGCCACTGAGCTGACCGTGCTGCCCCTGGAGCAGGCTCTTACCTGAATCAGAGTCTGCCTCTCTGCTTTGGGAAGGTTCTTGGCTTGAAGCTCTGCCTCCTCCCATTCTTTCTTCACCTAGAACAAAGTTCAGAAACCATTAGGGAACCATCTTGAGCTATTCCCTCCATTTTCTAACAACACTGCCAGACACTGAATCTAACCCCAGAACCTGCGCAAAGGAAGATCATTGTATAACCTCAATGAACTACTCAAGGTTAATACTGTCTCAAAAGGTTCTAGGCCTCACCAAGCCTCTCAACTCCATGGTCTTCCTGCCTGCTTGTTTCAAACTCTGTGCCTTAGTCTCCTTCAAAAAAAAAAAAAAAAGAAAAGAAAAAAGAAAAAGAAAAAGAGCTTTGTAGCGTAAAGTACAGCTGCTATCTATGATCCCAGAATTCCATATGAGCTGCTCCATTTTTGATCCAGCCCCTTACTAATCGCCTGGGAAAAGCAAGGGAAGATGGTCCAGGTGTGTGGGACCCTGCTATCCACATGAAATATCCAGATGAAGACCCAGCTTTGGCCTGCTCAGAGCCGGATCCTGTGGCCAGATGGAGAGTGAAGTAGTGGATAGAAAATCTCTAAGCTCTACTGCTCTTTCTGGAAATCTTTTAATATAAACATTTAGAAGACTGACTTGGACAAAATAACAAGCATCTCCCAAAAGATAAGCCTGATGCTGGTGGCAGCTAGGGCCCCAACACTAGAAATTTTCCTTCAAACCCAAATCTAGGAGACACACACACTGTAACGCGCAGGCTACTCTTTACGGAAAGGCAACAGAATCTGGCTACAATGGATTAATAGATGTTTCCTCTAATATATTTTTATTGTTAACTTTTTATGGCAAATGATATTTTATAAGTCTATTTGTGGCAATGATGTGAAGTTTACTTCTTTAAAATCATAAAAAAGTACAGAAAAATTGGGGACAAGATGATGGCAAAGAACAGTAACCAGTGTGTAACCAAGTGCCCCAAGCTCTTGAGAGCCACTGCATTCGCACAAAACGCGGGGAGGGCATGACACTTCAGGGAGATGGTGTCACTTCTTCAGCTGTCAAAGCCATGCTGCCCAACGCCAGCTACCATAAAGACAAGGGAAATGCCAAGGCTTACCCTGTCCATTCGATTGCGGTGCCGAATTTCCAGCTGTTCCTTAGCCTTCTGGAAGCGAGCATGCTCGTTATCATCTGCAGAGGTCTCGAAATACACATCCACATCATTGGTTGGCAGAGGAGTTGGGGGAACTGAAACGAATTGCACAGGGAGACGTTGCTGAGGGCTGGGCACACTGTTAAAGCTATACTGTGCCACAGGAAGAAAACCATGCTTGGGATCTGCAGATGGGTTCAGTTTATCTTGCAGGACTATGAAAGTGCTGCCATCTGCCAAGACTTCACTTGCTTAGATCACAGTGGCCATCTTCCTGACCTAATATCCATCTGGCATGTCATCATGCTAACATAATGATTTACTGACAGCTCCAGCATCAGCAGCATCTGAAAGCATTCCACTTACGCAGAAAAAGCTATTGCCTGTTTTATATCTTCTCTTTGGTGTTTAAAACCTGAAAACTTCAAGAAATAGCTAACTTATTGCTTAGTACAGACACTGTATGAACAGGCACCAGGGCCAAAGTCAGGCATTGCAGAAGTGTTTCCACAAGCACTCTAATAAAGCTCCATTCCGGTCCTCCTTTCCAGTTTATCTTGAGATCTGATTCACTTTGGGAAACAGGTTTAACTAAATGTCCTTTGTATACGGCTGACTGGTGAAAGTCAAAATCCCTTTAGCTATGTCTCTGAGTTTTAGCACCAGTATCAGCAAACAGGGCCAACTAACTAACTAACTGACAAAGCACCTTCTGCTGAAGGGAGGACACCTTTCATCAACTTTCCCAGTTGTCCCCCACAGCACAAGGGCATCAGAAGAGGCACCCTGCCCTGCAGATCTAGAGGACAGAGCTCAGTGTCCCAAGGGAAAGCGCCAAGGTGAGTGGCTTACCCCATCAACCTCTTAAGATAGCCACAGAAACACAGTCGACTCCCTGGAGAGGAAGAACGTGTAACTTGCTTAGTGCATCAGAACACACGTTTGGAAGCTAAATTCAAAAATTCAACTAATTTTAAATTCAGAAACAAACTTAATTCCAAGACTGCAGAATATTCATAATTAAAACAGCCGTATAACTGACAACTGAAGCTGCAAATTTTCTAGTTACAGGTTTTCTGCCAGAAGCATATTTTCTTTGGCTCTGGTATTTAATTAATCTCTGAAGTTCGGGAAGGGAGAACCCCAGGCCCTGAAGTCCAATTGCCTCAGCGGACACCATTGAGGACACAGGCCACAGGTGTGAACTCACAAACACTGCAGACAGAGCTGCTTTGGGCCATCGCCTGGCCATCCAAACACATCAGAACACACACTGCGTCTATTCTCCTGGCAACAAAGTGCATGTGTGGGGGCTGTGGGGAAAACATACTCCTTCAGACTGGTTTGGAAGACAGGAGGGCACAGGCCAGACCACACACTTCTGTCTGCTGGAAACGACAGGCCCACAAAGCCAGCACTGACCAGCTGCTGACCTCAAAGAGGGAAATCAGTGTGACCACCACAACACCTGATGCTTCCAGATCCCTAGAGTCCTGCAGCCAGCGAGCCCCACAGCTCAGGAACACACTGCTTCTCCAGGGGCAAACCTCGCGCAGCCTGCAAGAAAAGGGAGCTGTGTACACCTCCCACAGCACCACCTATCTGACCTTTTGGCTCGGGCTGCCACCTCCATGCTCACAGGATCTCTGAACTCAAACAAGGATTTCTTGATGCTTACTTTGAGTCATTTCACACAGTAACAAATACCACAGTAGTTTCCCTCTGAGTCCTGAATGAACAAAATCCATTTACTAAATTCCCTAAGGGCTTACTTCATGTTACTCCTTTAATTGTGTGAAACAGAACTAGCCTTTCCACTGCACAGCATCGGGAGTGGATACACTCACAGTGTACCATATTAAGATAAAAAAAAAAAAATCCTTTGGAAGACGGGAGAATGGCAATACAGACATTCAGCAAAAATCAAACACACATCAAAAGCCAAAAACCTTCACCGTATATACAAGGAACGGGCAAAAACTCATTATTCTGATGAATTTCAAGTTAGGATCCAAGGAAAACCATATGACTGTGGATTTTCCCCAACACAGGGGCTAGGTATGAAGGGTGAAAGAGGCAAGGAAGGGGTCCTTCAAAGGTACAAAGGAGAAGTTCTTCTTCAGTCGATTTCTAATGTAAACCTGATGGAGCTGAGGGAGTTTGAGACCAAACAACATGCAAACTCAGTCCTGCACTTCCTGCGTGTCTGCGTGACCTGGCATCACCAAGACATTGCAGGAAAGGAGGCTGCTGCTCCCAGGCCCCAGAGCTGTCTCCCTGGAGTGCGCAAGGCAGACTATCTGAATAGTCTAGATTACAACAGGCTACTGCTTTCGCTACTTTTGATAGCAGGACTCCTGTTGGGAGACACGCACCAGAGGAGTCGGCGATAAGACAGTTCAAAGGCAAGAACGAGAGGCAAAGCCAGGACCCAAGCGAGTACAGAACTTGCAGCTATTTCGCTTATCCGCTGAGGCCTTTCAACTAGAGCCTGCCTTTCTTACGGACACGGATGCACCCTGGAGGCTTGCAGACTCCAAGCGCAGATGACAAAGAACAAGCCCCCAGCTATGCTGCCCCATACCAACAAGGCAGCACAGCACCACCACCAGGACGCACGGTGAGCACGGGACACGGGGGACTGAGCTGACAACCGCCGACAGGAAAGCAGAACCTAGATCTAGGAAGCACAAAGATGAGGGGAGAAATGACCAACAGCGAACACCTGAGTCGGTGGGAACACGACACAGATGTGGTCACGAGGACGGCCAGGACAGACAGAACGCTGGACAGGACAGCGCTGCTGCGCAGGGCCAGTGCAAGGCGGGACTTACTCATCGCTTTACACACAGCCATACAATAATCCTCAGACTCAAAATTGTTCCTGTTGCCGCCGCAGCCGCCATATATAAAGCGCACGCACTTTCCCTTGGAGAGGTCGAAGTACCAACGAGGCATCACGGCCCGGCAGGGCCCCGTCATGGCCTCCTGGGAGCAGACAGCTGTGTGAAAACGGTCAGAGTGTCAGCAGGACAGAGGCAGTCGCTTCAAATGCTTCACAGTGCTTGGGCCAGCTGGGGGCAGGACTGGCCCGGCCTACTCAGCTCACCAGTACGTCAGGCATTCAGAGCACACAGCCTACTTTCCAGGTAAGGCACACATTTAGGAACGGAGACATTCTGCACTGCGCGGAGTCGAAATCACTACACACGATGACCTAGAGGAATGCCTTGTCTCACACACAGCTGTGTAAGGTTCATGTGTTTCTCTGTGTAGGGGGAGATATTGCCTATTTTGGTGGTTTCAAGGAGCTGAGGAGACAATGTGGATGGCAGGCCACTGGAAGTGGCAGGTGACATTATGCTAAACACTGAAGCATAGGCAAAGCGAGTGTGCTTTATTTTGTTTTTCAAAGTGGATTAGAAACTGCTAGAGCCTAAGTAATTTCTCACATTTAATTGGTCTGAAATAGACACAAACAGCAGGCTGTGTTTAAATGGCTCTGGACTACCGCAAGTTCTTGTTTTTTAAATCAGATAGATGAAAAATCTGGTATTCACCAATATACTGCTGGTAGGTCAGAAGACACCTTAGTGATAAATTGGGACCACCAGGGCAGTCTACAGATTGGTACACAAAGGCAAAGCGGGCAGGTTACTTCCACTGCAGGAGCCAGGACGTGGACAGCAGTGAGGAGGAGAGCGCTTAGAGAATGTTAGGCTTGCAAGGTGAAAGACCCGTGCTGAGAGGGACGCTGGGCCGGCCTCTGCACTCCAGCCCCTGGTTCCTTCCCTAAATGCAGACTTCTGCCCAGCTGATTCTGGCTGTGCCCTATCTTGCCTTCTCCAAGGGTGGTGTCACCGCTGCACTGGAGTCACATCCTTCAGTGCAGAGATGCCACTTGCCTTCTGTGACTTACCTGTAGGGAATGCAATCCAAACATCTAGGAAAATAAAAACTACATGGTTACCTTTAACGTCATGAGTGATCTCCTTTTCAGAAATGGGGCCTTCACTGCCGGGCTCAGTTGGGGTGTCCTCATTGTAGTCATCTCCCTTAAAGTTGTCATAATAGTAATCCCGGTCCTCCACCACTTCCTCTCCTTCCTCATCATCATCCTCATCCTCATCCTCCTCTTCCACAGCAGCTTCTGTGAAGTCTTCTAAATCTGCTTCAGTAGGAAATTCACTAAAGGTCACAATAAAAACAAGGAAGGTTAACATCAATTCCCAGGCACAAAGCACAACATACTTCCCTTCCCTCTTCTGAAACACAAAGACAGACAGGAAATACGCTCAGTTCACATTAACTGTGTGCTGGAGGCCAGCCCAGCTTCATCAGCAAAGGGGAGAGTTAATGACCACAGATTGCGTGAATCTGCAATCACCCGGCCCAGAATGACAGGCAGGCCAAAGTCACAAGTCCTCCTGGGATTCACTGGGGCCAGGGTGAAGCATCAGCCAAACCATCTGCAGCCTAGCGAGGGGATGCCCACTTGATCCAGCTAACAGAACATTTCAGAGCTCAGGACAAAAGTTCACCTTTTATAGATTTCATAGTCTTCCTCCTCCTCTTCCTCTTCCTCCTCCTCCTCTTCCTCCTTTTCTTTTGTTGGAGGGCAGCACACATATTCAGTGCCGTGGAACTGGTCCACCCCACAGGGAAGCAGCATGCCATAGCTATATAAGGTCATTCCCTGAGTCAGACACGCCTGCAAGGAACCCAGACACCGTCTCAGCACACAGTCCACAGTGAATCCAGCACTCCCCATACCGGGCTTCAGCCCAAAGCAACCCTCCTTACATCACTGGCGAACAGTTCCTCACACAGACAAATTTTCTGTCAGACAGAAAGTGGTGAGGCTATTTTAAGAGTTACATATCTTAGTTAGCTTACAATGGGAAAAATTATCTGAATCAGAAAATTTCAAAAGCTTAAACTGGGGAGAAGATGAAGAAAAGGGGAACTTGTAGTAATTATCAACCCCAGTTGAAGGTGGCCAACACTAGTTCATATTCATCACTGGTACAGACATTAACCTAGAATTTAACCAGACCAAGACTACTGCCCAGAAACCCAACCAGCCTTATACAGCAATGACAACAAAGGGTCTTCTTCACCACCACAATCATGAGGTGTCACCACTCCTCTCTGAGTGCAAGCCCAGATCTTTCTGCAGGCAGCTACTTCTCTGTTTTCAATCTTTAAAGTCTTAAGAACTTATTTGAAAGACAAAGTGACAATCTATTGGTTCACTCCCAAAATGGCCACAATCACAAGAGCTGGGCCAGGCCAAAGCCAGAATCCAGAAGCTCCACCTGGTTCTCCCATACGGGTGGCAGAGACCCAAGAACACAAGCTACCACCTGTGACTCTCCCAGGGAGCTGATCTGCAAGTGAAGCAGCCATTTAGATACAGCAGCAGCTTAACTGCGTGTGTCATGAGGCCAGCTTACTGCTCTGGCTACTTCTGCATGGTCCTTGGAGCTCGAGCTGCTTCCAGTATGCAATGTCCTTGCCACAGCCTTAATTCCAGGTGCTGGACTGCCACATACTCAGGATCCCTACAAAAAACACTTCCCAAGTATTTTTCACACAGAAAAGTGACTGTAAATTTTTAAGACAGAGAGGAAACACACAAATTAAAAACGCATGTTGATTCTGATGACAAGTGTTGCCCTTTCTCTTCAACAGACGCGACACTTGACATTCTCCCACTGTTTCCTTACCTCCTTGACCACGGAGTGCCAGTGCTGATGGTTCTCGCATACCTCCAGTCGCTCTTTGTGGAAAAACTGGCACTTTTCTGGAACTAGCAGAACGTCACTTACAAATTCACCCACTGGGGAGGAAAAACAAACCACTCCGTCAGAAGCAAATCTGACCACGATTCAAGGTGACAATGACCCTCACTGTAGACTATCATGACCAGTTGAGCAGTTGTAAGAACTCAACATCCCTTCAGAGTTAAGATGCCAGGAAATGGCCTGTTTCCCTGACCACGACCCCTCACATTCTCATTTCAGAACTACAGCAACACATGACAGGAATACAACCAGAACCCCCACTCATGACCACCTCAAATTTCCCACAACCTCACATGGACACCACAGCTGGCCCTTTTCTTCCCCATCTCTCCCTGCACGTGTTTTGACAACAAAATACCTAGGTATTCGTAAATCTTTCTTTAGATAAGGCACCATCATAAATAACTGATGCAGGTAGGAATCATCAATTACAAAACTGTCTTTCATTTGGGAAACTCTGGCAAAAACTACTACCTTAATCAAGCGATCAACCTAACATCATCAATAATGGACAAACTAGCACATATGTTATCACCTGCATGGTATTTCTGTCTAAAATAAATCCAAATTCAGGCATATTCTGTCAAACAGATAATGTGGACTATTAAAACAATATCATTGTCTTCGATTATATTGTTATTATATAGGGGAATGCCCCTAATCTCAGGAAATACAAGCTGAAGTTTAGAATTGAAGTTAAGTCCCAACTGACTTGCCAATAGTTTAGAGACCACAGACTATCTTCCCGTCCTCTCACCCTTCCCTGAGACAAACCCGGCAAGACTAGAGAATCTAGGGAAAGAAGGTAAAAGCAAACATTCTCAAAAATAAAAAGGTGGGATCAAACTACACATTGCTATTATTCACAAGGGAAAAAAATGTATCTGATCTGCTTCCAAGTAATCAGGGGTTAGGGTGAGTGGGAGTTGAGCCAGAGATAAAAGAAAGGCTTTTAAGTTAGTGATTGTTATACACCCAGGCAACAGCTACACGACAACTATTAGCACCTTGAGAGGCTTGTAATGTTTCATAATAAAGTTTAAAATGTGGGTCTACACTGGACTGTCACCCACACTCTGATTCAGCAGAATCCAGTAAGACTTGACAGTTGACTGAACACACGTCCCAAGGGAATCTTGATGCACAGTCAAATGCCACATGAGGTCTCAGAGTAAGAATACAGGCAAAGTGTGCCTAGCTCAGAGACATGTGCAGTGATAAGGGAAACAGAAGCATACAGGATACTTCTAAAGCTTTTTTTTTTTTTGCCTCTTAAAGATTTGTTTGAAAGGTAGAGTGACGCAGAGAGACACCAGTCTTCAGTCCACTTGTTCACTCTGCAAATGTACAGCCAGGACTGAGCCAGCCAAAACCAGAAGACAGGAGCCCAGAGCTCCACTCAGCTATACAGGTCTCCCACATGGGACACCTGCTGCTGCTTTTCCAGGAACAACAGCAGGGAGATGGATCAAAAGCGGAGCAGCTGGGACTCCCAACTTGCACTTGCATAGAATCCTGCCACACTACACCAAAATGCTTCCTTCTCTTGAGAATTTTTTACAAGAAGGAAAAGTACAGGGCAGTAACGTGACCTGAACAAGGTCCGAGGACTCAGCCAGTTCTCCACAGAAGTCAGTCCCAATCACCAAGTGGCAGGAGGAAGCTGCTCAGCAGGGAGATGTGTTCCTCACTTGAGCCCAACACAGCAATGGAAAGGTAGCTTAGACACAGTTCTGCCCCTGAGGATCCAAAGGGTTCTATTCAAACCTTTCCAACAACCTGGACTTACAGTCAATGTTTAAAATCAACAAAAGCTGCCTGGTAAACTAGCATCTGCCACAACTGGGAAAAGCAACTCTGACAACTTAATCATCCACTCATTCTTTAGTGTCATTATTACCCATGAAGTAGGCAATTTTTACATTTGTTAATTGATGATAAAAAGCATACATTTAGGGCACAACATATATACAACTAACACACCAGGGTTCAATCTTAGCACTATCCTTCATGAATCAGGCAGGATCCTCAGTCATATTCTATACCTTGGGTTCCTTATCTGGCTGTATTTAATGATCTACTGAATATGACATATGAGAAGCTAGGGACAGAAATGCATAAATGTGTATTACCTCTTTACTGTTCATGTTAATAGCTCATTAGTCTTCAGTAACTAGTTTTACAAACTGTATAACCACGATTACAAATCAATCTATAATGAACAACACCCAATGAACTTTAATTTGTAAAATTTCATATTTTGTACAATTCTAACATAGTAAAGAATTTAAATAGCAATTTCACTAATGGGGTATGTATTCTGTAAGGATATTAAAATTAAAAAAAAACAGAATATCACGGAACAGGTTAAAATTAATTATTTAAATGTATGTATAAAATACACCTTTTAAAAATTCTAGAATGCTATAAAGTGGAAAGGCCAGGTACAGAGCCCCATTCAAGTGCCTAAAGACAGAAGTAAATCATTCACAGACAACATTTGCAAGTGGCCAAAGCACAGAAACACACTTGAGAATGACACAGGAACAATGGGATGGTGTTTACCTCCAAGGCAAACATTTTACCCTCATTAAACAGAAGTTGAAGCACTGAAAAATTTAAAATCTGGATGGTGAGTTCATAAGTGCCCATCATATTACATTTCAACTTTTTAAGATGCCTGAAACATTTTAGGACTCAAATAAAATTTAAAATCAAAACATCTTTTGTAAATGCCAGAAATGATAAATGAAATGATTCATTACTATTATCATGCTAAAACATAATGCCACCAATTCACTCCCTGATTGAATCAATCTGACCTCTGCAGAAACAGAAAGGATTAACACCATTAAAGGTGGAAATAAATCAAGATCTCGAAAACTAAAAAACTTTGATTCAACAATTCTTAACCTAAAAATATGCCCTAAGGAAATTAACAAAATCTATCTATTAACAGTTATTATTAACACCAAAAAACAGGAATGAACCAAAAGGCTAGCCCCATGGCTTAGCATGCTAAGCCTTTGCCCAATGAACCAGCATCTCACATGGGTACTGGCTCTCAAGTTCCAGCTGCTCCACTGCTGAGCCAGCTCCCTGCTAAGCAATGCTCCTGGGAAAGCAGCAGACCATGGCTCAAGTGCTTAGGCACCTGCACCTTGAGAGAGACCTGAAAGAAGCTGCTGGCCCTTGGTTCATTCAACTCTGGTCACTGCAACCATTTGGGGAGTGAATCAGAGGATAGAAGATGCTCTCTTTCTCCTCTCTGTTTAACTCTCCCTTTCAAATAAAAAAAAATCTTTTTAAAAAAGCATCTAATTCCATTTAGGTAAAAAAAATTTTTTTAAGTACACACATTTCCATGTGTCCAAAGATAAAGTCTATTCTCTATGCACACTAATGTTAATCACGACTGACTAAGTGCAGAAGCTGGGAAATGATTGTTTTTGCTCTCTATTCCCACTGCAAACTTCTTTCTAAAAAGTAAACTGAAAGAGGAAACACATTACAATCCCAGCATCCGTTCTATCATTTCACTACTACCTTTGGCCCTTGCTACAACTGTTTATCAGAAGCTCCTACAGGGAAAAAATTAGTCCAGGCAAAAGACTATCACTCTCACAGAACAATGAAAATGGCTTGGTCTCATTTTAATCACACACAAAAACCAAGTGTTGCACTGATCAAGGCACAGGGCAACAGAGTGAAATCTAACCTACAAGATTTCATTTCCGCTAAGTTATTTTCTCCAGCTTCTGTTCACTTCCTGTGTGTTTAAAAAGTATGGTTACATAACCAAGAGATTCGCCGATAAAACATTAAACCACATATTTTACAATCACACCATCTCTTCCAGGTTTTCAGAATTGCTGAAATTCCTTTCAGGATAACAAAGGCTGTTACATACTCGGGGCAGCCCTGCCACCAACACCCGTATGTATAAATAAACCTGCTCCTAAAGCATTTGCCAGCTGCAAAAGGGAAAACACTGCAGTCAGAGGATCTGGGAGCTGTTACCAGGTGAGAACTGCTGTCTGCCCCCGGCATCTGTGAGGTCAAGAAGGCTCTGAGAAGATGTGGAACAGAAACATCCACCTGCACGGGCTCCATTCTGGAAACCAGGATGAACTGTGGCTGAGCTACTGTGAATTCAGAGACCAGGAGACCTGAAGGGTGTAGTAGCAGTGCAAGTTGCTCTAACATATGGAGATACAATTGTTGGAGACGTTTCCAAAGTCCCTGAGACTAACTTCTGCTTTAAAGTAAATACTAGAGGGCCCAGGGCAATAGCATAGCAGTTAAAGTCATCGCCTTAAACGTGCCGGGATCCCTCCCATATGGGCGCAAGTTCTAATCCCAGCGGCCCTGCTTCCCATCCAGCTCCCTGCTTGTGGCCTGGGAAGGTAGTCCCAAAGCTTTGAGACCTTGCACCCACATGGGAGACTGGGAAGAAGCTCCTGGCTCCTGATCGGCTCAGCTCCAGCCGTTGCGGTCGCTTGGGGAGTGAACCATTGGACAGAAGATCTTCCTCTCTGTCCATCTCCTCCTCTTTCCAATAAAATAATATTGGAAATTATATTATCCAATATATTTGTAAAAATAAATATATCTTTTTTTAAAGTAGATACTAGAATAGTTTTCTGGATAGTTTTCACATCTATCTGAATCTCCAATGAAAATAAACCAGCCACAGGTTCACTAAGTCATTGTCTTTTAGTACTACTAGAACCACTTCTACCACTTCTACATAATCTCAGAGATGATTAAAATCTTCCCCCTTTCTCAAACAACTGCAATCTTGATGCTCCACCCACTTCTCTGTCCTAACTTGAGTCACTATCTAACTATATAAAACTTTTATAACTAATCAAGAGGCAATCAGTGTAGTAATAAGCTGTAATGGCTTATCTTGAGGAGGGGAGAAAATGAACTGCTGCATCTCATCCAATAAACTAAAACTAGTTTAAAAAGAATCACAGTTCTAAAACTTAAAAAAATGTGACCGTGATGGGCAATGAAGCATGCATCAGAATAGGCAGAGCTGAGCAATGTGGGGAACACAGACATACACAAACTACAACAGCAGACTCGATGCAAACACTGTGCATCCTATCGTGCAACTCTCAAGTTACCTGCAAGAATGGGAGCAGGACTTCACTCCTGCCCTCAAGCTAACAGCCACACAGAAACCGTACCTGACGACACAGCTAAGATCCATGGGACAGCCACGCACGCCAACTGACAGGAGAGACAGCCCATCAACAACATCTGGCCTGTCCTCTGGGTTTAACAGCAAGAGCCCACGGAGTCCCACAGCTGAAGCCAGCCACATTACAACAGCTCTTTAACATATGCCATTCATCCTAAAGTACATGAGGGGGACTTCTGGTCGATCCAGTGCATAGGGCTCTCACTTTTTACTATCAATTTTTATTACAGTCAATATGCTTCAAGTGTTGTGTATGGTTACATAGCTAAGGGAATAAACTATAAAACATTAAACTGTACACACTCAAAGGACTAAATTATACAGTACATAAACTGTATCTCAACAACTTTTAAGAAGTAGAGACTGATTTATTTACAAGGGACATGGAGCAAGTAAATATATAGATGGATGAAAGCAGGACTGGAGTTGCCATCATCAGGTCCCTGTTTTTAATGCCTACACACAGACTGAAAACTGAGTATGTCATGTTACAGAAACATCCTGGTGGCATTCAGCACACCTAGTGCCACATCTTGGTCATCTGGGGAGTGAACCAGTGGATGGAAAATCTTTGTTTCTTCTTTTTTTAATGATTTATTTATTTTTACTGGAAAGCCAGATATACAGAGAGGAAGAGAAACAAAAAAACATCTTCCATCTACGATTCACTCACAAGTGACTGCAATGGATAAAGCTGAGCCAATCCGAAAGCAGGAGCAAGGAACTTCTGGGTCTCTCACACAGGGTGCAGGATCCCAAGGCTTTGGGCCGTCTTGACTGCTTTCCCACACCACAAGCAGAGAGCTGGGAGGAAGTGGAGCAGCCGAGACTTGAACCAGCACACATCTGGGATTCTGGTGCTTGCAAGGCGTGCACTTTAGCCACTAGGCTACTGTACTGCGCCAGGCTCTATATTTTCTTCTCTCTGTAAATCTGCCTTTCCAATAAAAATAAACACTCCAATAAAAAGGATGAATATAGGGTCAGGCATGGTGGCCTAGCAGTTAAAAATCCTCTCCTTGAATGCACCAGGATCCCATATGGGCACCAGTTCTAATCCTGGTAGCCCCACTTTGCATCCAGCTCCAGGCCTGTGGCCTGCGAAAGCAATTGAGGATGGCCCAAAGCCTTGGGACCCTGCACCTGTGTGGGAGACCAGAGGAGGCTCTTGGCTCCTGGCTTTGGATTGGCACAGCTACAGCCATTGTGATCACTTGGGGAGTGACTCATCAAACAAAAGATCTTCCTCTCTGTCTCTCCTCCTTTCTGTATATCTGACTTTTCAATTAAAAAATAATAAAATAAATTTTTTTTTAAAAAGCAAGCACTTTCTTCCCTTAAACAAAAAATGAAGTTATCACCACTAATGAAACTGACATCATATAATTCCCAGTACGATGTAATGAGAACATTTCTGCGAAAGTTCCCTCTCAACTCTGTAAACCAAAAGAACACTGAACAACTCATATGTAAGGCATTCTACAAAGCAACTAGCTTCTCCATTAAAAGTGTCAAGGTCATGAAAGACAAGGAAACACTAAATTCAACATGTGATCTTCTATTAGAAGCTGGATGCTACTAATACAACAGGTATCATTTGAACAAGGTCTGTAGACTAGGTATTATGTAAGTTAGTGACTTTGGCAATTGTACTATGGTTATATAGTAGCTTAAAAATACTGTAATATTAAGGCATTAACATATCATGTCTGCAACATATTATCAAATGATTGAGAATACAACCAAAAATCCAGTAGGGACAGTTAGGGGAATGAGAAATAAGATCCTCTTTGTAGTATTTTTATAAATTGCACCATTTTGTAATTTCAAGTTATCCTTCATGAAACAGTTACCACATTTCTAAAAGGGTTACTAACATGCTTTCCAAGGAGTCTAAAAAAAGAGAATGATGCTGTTTATTAACCAATGTCAGTGCTACCTGAAGGAATGCCAATGACAAAGCAGTGGAGATGTTAATGTCTTCTTAAATGATAAGGGAGAACTAGCAGTGTGTTGTGCCTACTTTCTCTTTGAAACTCCAGGCACCCAGTCCCTCACCATTCTAAGTTCAGGCAACTGTATTTATTTAAAAGTTTCAATGGACAGATCCGCATGGATGATGATGTAACCAGGCTACCTGTCTGAATTAAGTAACACTAAAGACTGCTCAATGTTTTTAAGATTCTACAGTGCAGGGCCTTGCGGCATGGCCTAGTGGCCTTGAATGCACTGGGATCCCAAATGGGCGCCGGTTCTAATCCCGGCAGCTCCACTTCCCATCCAGCTCCCTGCTTGTGGCCTGGGAAAGCAGTCGAGGACAGCCCAAGACTTTGGGATCCTGCGCCCGTGTGGGAGAGCCAGAAGCAGCTCCTGGCTCCTGGCTTCGGATCGGCACAACACCGGCAGTTGAGCTTACTTGGGAAGTGAATCATCGGACAAAAGATCTTTCTCTCTATCTCTCCTCCTCCCAGTATATCTGACTTTGTAATAAAAATAAAATAAATCTTAAAAAAAAAAAAAGATTCTACAGTACAAAGAAGGTACTGACCGATTTATGATCAAACTGTCTTTTGACATGTAGTTAATGAGAATTACAACTCCACTGCTTGGAGTCGTTTGGAGCCATTTGAAACAATAAAGCAATAAAATAAATGCCCCGTTGAAGGTCAATTGTAAATAGAAAATACTATTTTTATTTTCTATATTCTAGGTGGTAAGAGGATAAATAAAACTAAAACAGTGTGCCTGATTTCAAGGTATTTACAATGTAGATGGTGAAGCAGCCATCAACAGATAGTCTTGCTACAGTAAAACCACTGTGATGCCATGAGCAAGGAGTATTATGGACACCTGAGTGTCTGGACCAGAGAAAAGACTGCTTTTAAGGCAAGCATTCCACAAAGTGAGTCTTAAGAGAAAAAGCTCCCAAGAAAAGTAGGTGGAAGAATACTTTCACGATGCAGTTAACTGCTACATGATTCAGATGTTAATTCTTCCTATTATTTGGCTGTTGTTCCTTGCTATGCATTCCATCTTGCCACTGTCAACAACTTAGGGAGGATTTTAGTGAAGGCAGGGAGGAGGATGAATTAACTGATCAACTCAGATACAGAACTGCTGAAGATATTTACATTCATCCTGTCACAGAAACATGAGCTGTTTTGCCCTTTCCAGCATCAGTAGCCTTTCTGCTCCCAATTCACCAGCCCACAGATATGTGACTATCATCCAGAAACCTATGTCAGTAAATGGTTCTGACTCATACATTCAATAGGCAGCTGAAACAACAACTTGCATCAGGGTAATAATTAGCTGTGCTTAGGTTGGCTTCAAATGTTGACACCAGCAACAGGTGTAAAGGCCTCTTTGCCAGCCCCAAATCCTTCAGAAGGGGCAGGTCCCACAGTGCCTGTCCCTGGAACCCCAGACTGCCAAAAGGGTATCCTAAGTTGCGTCTCCTTCACCAGTGGTGCAGATGCATACAGGAAGACTCTTCTTTCATGACACTTCACTGTCATCCCTGTAATGTGCTCAGCTCAGATGGTGACCAGCAGGGTGGAGCGCCCTTGCCAGGGGAGACAGAAGCACAATGGAAGAGGCACAGATAGTAATCACTGAAAGGAAGTTGGCCAGTAAATATCCAGAAGACAAATCCCCAATAAACCCATGTAGCACTCAGGTTTCTAACAGATGAAGATGATTCACTATCAGCTCAGAGATAATCAAATTCACAAATGGAGGCCAGGGAGGCCTACTTCATGCCAAGTGACCAGGAGCACTCACCCAGACACTTGAATGGTATAACAATGTGAGTCTTGCATGGCTTCTTGTCCTTTCGGCACCAATTGTCAATACTGACCGGCTGGTTTGCTTCCATCACATTTGTGATCTGCAGCTCTGGATACATCTATTAGGGAACAGAACACACAAAATAAACTACCCTGCAAACGGACATTCTCTTGCAAGTAAAGGTTAAATACTCAAATTCACTTAGTCTCCACTTCATCCTACCAAATCTCAAGCTCTGCCCCACTCTGTCTGCTACAACTGAAGTCATCTAGTATAAAGATGATGTAACTACCAGGTTTGATTAAATATTCTTTTTTTTTTTTAAAAGAACTTATATTTAAGATTTAAGGCAAACAAAACCAGCAAGCCTTCAGGCTCTTCCCGCCCAATCCATTAGACGTCAAGCGCATGTATAGATTCACATTAGTTGCCAACTGAAACATTTACAAACAAGTCAACGGGAATGTCAATGAAATCACACAACAAGGCCTCACCTCTGGCCCTACATGCTAGTCTTAGTCAGGCGTTAAGACATCTTATATCCTCTTCTATTTCATCTAAAAGGTAAAATGAATCAGACCTAAGAGGAAAACCGGCAGCTCTGCATCCCTGGCTTCAACCAACCACAGGGTGAACATATTCGGGAAAGGAAAACATTCTTGAATATATACACATTTGTTTTTTCTTGGCATTATTCCTAACAACTAAACATTATTCCAGTGACAACTATTTGCATAGCATTTACATGGCATTAGGTATTGTAAGTAAGCCAGGGTATATTCAAGTATACATGAGGATGTGCATAGGTTATATATAAATTCTACATTATTTAGATAAGGACTTCAAGCACTCAGATTTTGGTACCCATTGGGAATCCTGGACTCAATCCCAAATGCATACTGACAACCACATTCCTTACTAAAAGTGAGAGAGCTCACAGAACATGCAAGCAAAGCCTTTCAGAAGCTTAGTCACAACACACATTCAGAAACAAAGGCCTGTGCCCCAGAAACCAGCATCCTGGTCTTAAGCCAAAAGAGAAAGACGACAGAGCATCTATTACCAGCATATTTAACTCTGACCCAGGTTCTCACTTCCTCTCAACCTCTTACCTCTTGACAGTACTGAAGAACTTCTTCTTTTCTTCCTAAGCAGCTCTTGGTGCCTGTTGGATCAGGCTCCCACTTCCCAGTCTGAATGTTCACATGCATGTTTAACTTCCCACAAAACATCGCAATTTGAGGCTCGGCAACAGCAAATCCAGTTCCAGCATTGGCTGCCAGAGCCTGCAGAGAAAAGAGAAATTCCAAATTTATTTCCAAAAAAAGAAAAAAAAGCTGGCAGAAAGGCAAATATGCAGTGGTTTGTGACAATATTAAATCTTTCAAAGATCTTCATTATTTACGGATTTTAGCTTCATAAACCAATCCTTCTCACAGGAGCTGGGTCAGAATAAAAAAATCAGCTTCAGATATACAAGACCAAAGTGAACAGTCATGAGAAACCACAATTTCCCAGGTTGGATACCTAAAATCTTGTGAACCTATAGCCTGAATGCAGCCTGCTCGTCTATAAGCAAATTTCTTTTCACTTCTTCACAAACCAAGTAATGGAAGAACAGCTAAAAATTACAATGACCTCACTTTAATTTGTTTGCACAACAAGAACTTATCAAGGATGAGTAAAGTGCTGACCCCTGGAATTCACAGACTAATGGAGGAGTCACCACACACACACACACACGCATCACATTCCCAGCCAGCCTGGTGCTTGGCATAGTGGCTTGATTGGTTATGGGATATATGAGTGCCAATTTGCATCTCGGCTGCTCTATTTCCCATCCAGTTCCCTGACTTGTACCCTGGAAATTCAGTAGGGGATAGGCCAAAGCCTTGAAACCCTGCACAGACGTGAGATCTGGAAGAAGTTCCTGGCTCTAGATCAACTCAGCTCTGGCTATTGTGGCCACTGGGGGAGTGAACCCGTGGATGGAAAATATTTCTCTATCTCTCCTTCTCTCTCTAAATCTGATCTACCTTTCCAATCAAAATAAATCTCTAAAAAACAAGAAATATTGTCTGGCCCAGGATTCAGTCAAGAAGCCACCAGGAAAGTTTCCTGGCAAGTGACATGGGGTAGAACTTTGAGAGCACAGGGTCATCAGAGAGGCAGCAGGGAGGCATGTAGTCACATCTCTAGGGAGTCTCATGAAGAGTGGGGCTGTATCTTCATTCGTGCAAGCATGGGGAAATCTTTAGCATCACGCTGTTATTTTCAAAATGCAGCTCTGAGGCCTTTTCTGACTGTAGAGAGAAAAAAAGATGGAAAGGAACCAAGCACGTAGGCAAGTAAAGAGCTCAGGAAGCTGGCTGCACAGCCCAGGACATGCGTGGTGGGAGCTTGGCCTAACCTGCTGAGGTGGAGCTTCAGAGATCGCAGTCCAACGGGCAAGGCTCGGGGACACGTCAGACGGGGAGAACGAGGAGGACAACAAGCAGGGACCATTCACACACAGAACACTAAAAAGGCTTTCGTGGATAATCTTGGCTCATGCCATGAAAGATAATCAGCTGCACCATACTATCCAGTCTTTTTAATGAGCAGTATCCTCTCTTCTCATCCTCCCACCCCCCCTTTTCCCTCTCTGGCAAACACATCTTGACAGTGATTTTTGACAGGGATTTTGGGTGGGAAACAGCGGTCAGGCAAAACACTAAAGTTACTGCAAAGTACAGCATACCAGAACACACTGGCACACCTGTATCTAGCACTATGCCTCTGTTAACAGCTGCAATTCCATGTTGGGACACACTGGAATTTCATAGTCTTCCCTAGTGGGAAAGTTCTTCCACACTTAAGAAAAACTTTTAAACATTTATTATTAGGGCCAACGTAGTGGCATAGCAAACTAACGCTCCACCTGTAGTGCCCGCATCCCAAAAGAGCATTGATTTGCGTCTTGACTGCTCCACTTCTGATCCAGTCCTCCCTGCTAATGGCCTGGGAAAGCAGCAGAGAGTGGTCTAAGTCCTTGAGCCTCTGCACCCAAGTGGGAGATCCAGTAGAAGCTCCTGGGTTTCAGACCAGCTCAGCTCTGGTTTGTGGTGGCCATTTAGGCAGTGAAACAGCAGACAGAAGATCTGCCACTCCCTCTCTTGGTAATTTTTTCAAGTAAAATAAATCATAGATTTATTTATTTGAAATAATTGCAAAGGAAGGAGGAGATTTTCTGTTTGGTTCATTCCCCAGGCAAGTATAGGGACAGGCTAAAACCTGGAGTTTCATCTGAGTTTCCCGCCCAGGAGTAGGAGCCCACACACCTGGGATACCTTCCTCTTTCCTCTGCTTTTACCTGATGCACTAGCACGGAACTGGATCAGAAGAGGGACAGCCAGAACACAAACTGGGATCCCACACACAATTCTGGAATGGTAGGTAGCACCCACTATGCCACATGCTGACCTGAATCCACAATAAATACTTAAAACAGCTTTTAAAAACATGTGGGTGAGGGTCAGATTATATTCTCGGTAACATTTTTAATATGCTAACAAGGAAAGGTAGTTCTGAGTTTCATAATATATGCACAATGTGTGCTAGTCTGGGCAACTTTCATTTGTGCTGATGAACTAAACAAACACATGTACAGCTCCTGATCAGAAACTTCATTTGATTTTGAGATACATTATTACCTTTTTCCAGGACAAATTTATCAGCATACATATGCTTTGCTTAGTAGTGTATTAAAATTAAATTATTTTCTAGTAGTACAAAAAGAAGGACAAACATTTGTTTGATAGCTGGGAGAAATTCAATTTGGAAACAAAATGTTGCCAAGAGCTACCACCGTTGGAGGTTGGCACTGTGGTGCAGTAAGTTAAACCTTGGCACTGGCACCTCATACAAGTATCAGTTCAAGTCCTGGCTGCTCCACTTCTGACCCAGCTCCATGCAAAGGGCCTGTGAAAAGCAACAAAATATGGACAGGAGCCAGGGCCGATGCCAATCACGTGTGAGACCTAGAAGCAGCTCCCGACACCAGCTCGACTCGGTGTTTGCTGTTGGAGCCATCCAATAGTCCTGGGCCATCCAACAGCAAGGACTGCGGAATGAACCATCAGAGTCAAGATCTCTTTCTCTCCCTCCTCCTCTACCCCGATCTCTGCCAGCAATTTGGCATAACAGCTTAAGCCACTGCCTGTAATGTTGGCATTCCATACGAGCCTTGGCTACTTCACTTCCCATCCAGCTCCCTGTGAGGATAACTAAAGACAGTCCAATTGCTTGGACCCCAACACCCACGTGGGAGACTGGAAGGAGCTCTGAGGTCTTGGCACCTCCTAGCACAGTCCCGGCTATTGTGACCGTCTGAGCAGTAAACCAGGGGATGGAAGATTTCTTTCTCTCACTCCCTCTCTGTGTACCTCTATCTTGTGAATAAATAGATCTTAATTTTGTTTGTAACTTTCAACTAAATAAATCTTTGAAAAACAAGACGACAACAACAAAAAGTGCCTTCTACTTCAAGAGTCCAGATAGAGATACATGAAGAAAATTCAGGAAGATGTGTAAATAAGCGGGTAACTTACAAGGCTCCTGCTTCCTAAATCTAGAGCAAATAAATCACCGCAGAAAAGTCAGCAGGATTCCTGAACAATGTTTCTCAAGTTCTCTTATGGCCTTGCATATTTTAACATTACAGCAGCTATTAAACAGGACCTGAGGTGTGCGCTTCTAATCTTTCTATATGGCATTTATCCCCTTAAGTTCCAAAAATGCAAACAACCAAGAGAATGTCAGCTGGTTATGTGAGCTCATCCAAGCCACAGCCCGGGGCATTCAATTTGAGTGCAGGCAGCCCTTTCTCGGCACCAAAGACTGCGTTCCACACATTACGCGGCAGGGGTGTTGACGCAAAGACCGCAGGAGTTCCAAGTGTTTGCATGTTCAGTTTACAGGTCAACCACCAAGGTCGATGCACCCGTGGTAAGTGCATTTGATTTCTGAGCCGAGATGGTCACCATTCCCTTCCCTAAAGAGATTCTCAAATACCATAGGTTAAAGCAACAGGAAGAGGCTGCACAGCAGCAACAGATACATCAGTTGCCACACAGAAAAAGTGGAGCAACTGGAACCAATCCAGACAGCTAATATGCTGCAGCGATTCACTTCTGAGTTCAGAAAGATTAATCCTTGTGGTCATAGGAGACTCTCAAGAAGATATCATCTGAAACATAAAAAGCCTCCGCGGACCATGTCTAGGAACCAACTAATCAAACATGCCCAACCCTACCTGGAGCACTAGGTCATTTTTTCTATAATGTTTCCACTTCTCTGCTTTGAAAATGCTCTTATTTAATGTGCTCTCCATTTTCTTAAGCATGGACTGTGCCTTGATCCATCACATCAACATATCAATCAATCTTTCCTAATCTAACATGTTACAAATGGGATTTCGCTGCCAAGTCAGCACTTCTGGTATCCTGTGGACCTGGAATCCTCCAGGAAAATTTATGCCCCATGTGTTGGCACTTAAGCCAGTCCTCGTGATCTATGCATACTGCAGCGCTTTTAAGGCTTTGAAAACAAATTGCATCAATTGCTTTCCTACCCGAGTGCTTCCACTTTACTTAATAATTCATCCTTAATAAGAAATTCCATTTTATTAATTTGGCTTGGGGGAAAAGAGTTTAGCTATCCAAGGACAGAAATTCAACTTGGTAAAAAGTGCTTCTAGTAACCTGGTTGAAAACTTAAAATAGCTTAGAGTATGAACATGTAAAATATAAGTAAATTTAAATGAGAGCCTATTTTGACAAATCAGGACATTCAATCATCACCACAAGAGATGCAATTCATGAGGCCATCTAAGCCCCTCCCTCTCCCACAGCACCAAGGCATTCCCCACTGGCAAAGCAGATATGGAAGCCTCTTCTTTCCTCCACAGTTACTGCCTGAAAATACAAGCTGGCCCCAGGGTGTGTGGGAGCACCTGCAATAGAAGGGACATCCTCTCGAGAGCAGGGTCATACCCTACTGCTGAGAAATCACACTTCCTCAGATGGGAAGGCAAGGCTTCACACACACACACACACACACACACACACACACACACACACACACACACACACACACACACACACACACACACACACACACACACACACACACACACACACACACACACACACGGCAAGGCTTCTCTCTCTCTTACCACACACCAGGCAAGGCTTCTCGCGCGCGCGCACACACACACACTCACTTACTCTCTCCCCCTCCCTCCCTT